CAAGTGATTCTCCTGCCTTTGCCTCCCAAAGTGCTGAGATTTTAGGCCTGAGCCATGGTGCCTGGCCTTCACTTTTGTCTTTTAGTGAATAAATTAAACCGAGTCCCATTTATAGTGATACTGACACATTACTATTTCACTTCTACCATTTTTTCTTGTTTTGTTTGTCATTCTTGTTACTTTGTTTCTCTTTTCCTGTATTCTGGTAAATTGATAAAGTTTTCTGTGCTCCCTTTATTCCCTCTGCATGTTTGCAATACAATTCTTGTGGTTTCCCTCACCCTTTTAACGTACATACTTAACTGCAGATTTTAAAAAGAAAGTATAGTTATCTGGTATTTCTCTTTACTCTTGAAGAAAAGAAGAGCTCTCTTCCCCTAAATTTAGTATTATAATCTCTAGTCTTAATTTTCCATTTTCGTAAGGACACTTTTAAGAGACGGTAGGTAATGAATAAACTGACCAAAATATTTTATCACTAACTGCAACGCTCTCCTGTAAATAATGTCTCTTCCACCTGGGTTCTCGCTTCCTCATGTTGAAGTGCGTCTTTCAATTATTCATTTAGTGGTAGCATGTAGATGGCAAGCACGCTTAGTCTTGGTGTGCCTGAGATGGCTTTCTTTCACTCTTACTCTTGCTTAGTAAGAGTTTAGCAGAGAGTCTCAAAGAGATATTTGTACACTCATGTTCCTAGTATAGTATTCACAGTCGCCAAGAAGTGGAACCAACCCCAGTGTCTATCTGCTGTTCATGGATAAGCAAAACGTGGTCTACACAGGCAAAGGAACACTATTCAGTCTTAAAAAGGAAGGACATTCTGACACATGCTGTACCATGATGGAGCCTTGAGGACATTGTGCTAAGTGAAATAAGCCAGTCACAAATGGGCAAATACTGCATGACTCCACTTACATGAGAAGTATAGAGTAGTCAAATTCCTAGAGATAGAAAGAAGAATGCAGGTTGCCGGGGGCTGGGGAAGGGAAATAGAAGGGTTGGTATTAAATAGGGACAGAGTTTCAGTTTTACAAGAGGTAAAGAGATAGATAGTGGTGATGGTTGCAGAACAAAAAGAATGTATTTAATGCCACTGGGCTGGGCATGGCTGGGTGGGGCACTTTGGGAACTTGTTGGGAGGTCAAGGCAGGAGGATTGCTTGAACCCAGGTGTTCGAGACCAGCCTGGACAACATAGTAAGACCTCATCTCTACAAAAACAAAAAACAAAAAAAACAGCCTGGTGTGGTGGCACATGCCTGCAGTCCCAGCTACTTGGAAGGCTGAGGTGGAAGGATCACTTTAACCCAGGAGGTAAAGGCAGCAATAAGCCATGAGGATGCCACTGCCTCCAGCCTGGGAGACAGAATAAAACTCCAACTCAAAACAAAAACAAAAACAAAAAAACCACCATTTAAAAAATGGTTTAAAATGTTATGTGCGTTTTGCTATAACAAAAAAAAAAAGGAAAATGTCAGGAAAGGCATGAAATCAGAGGTTAGTAGAAATCTTTCTTAGCTCTTTGAATTGTTTTCTCCCTTTTCCTTGAGGCATGTTGCAGACAATCTATCCTTTCTCACTGCTATGTTTGAAGACTTTATAACCCTGATGTTCTGAAGTTTCATCACAATGTGTCTAGATGTGTAGGTATTTGTATTTGTCTAGTTCAGTATTAAGAGTGTGTTCTCAGAGGATACACAATTGTCAATTCTTAGAAGTGCTCAGCCATTATCCCCTGAAATCAAGTATCTCTGATGTTTGTGTTACACTTTTCTGGAACACCCTTTAAACATATGTTGGAACTATTCATTTTTCATTCATGTTGTTTAAACATACGTTCATATCTTTGTTTTCTCTGTACATATTGCTTTCTGAATGAATTTTCCAGAACTGTCTATGAATTCTCTGATATCTTCAGTTGATCCCAGACCAGAATTTTTCCCACAGAATACTTATTTCAGTGACGTTACATTTTTTACTTCCAAAATTTCTAAGTGATTCTTTTTCATATTTGACTTTCATATTATTTCTTCCTGTTTTTGTTTCATATTTTCTTATCCTTTTTTTTTTTTGAGTCGGAGTCTCACTCTGTCTCCCAGACTGGAGTGCAGTGGCCG